CACGCCGCCGCCCGCGGAAAACGAATCCAAAACAGCAACGGTCGAGAAGCAACAAACTTCTGAACCCATCTTTTTGCCCAACCGGAGGAGACAAACCCGGACCAAGACGATGATCCAGTGACTAAAGTGATCGAGAATTCTGCGACAGCCGAGTAAACACACTCGCAGCAACAATCAGAACTACGAGATGGCTTGATTTCCGAAAGGAATACGTAGGCAGCTCGCCTAAAGACGAGTTCAGCTATCTCCCTTTCCGAAACCGGGGGGGGGGGGAGTGGGTGCTGTGTATATGAGTATTCGTATAGCCGTCCTAAAAAAACGCACAGACCCATTGGTCCGCATACATCCGACTAGGATAAAATAGCGCGCTGTAAAAGAAAGAGGAATTACTTGGAATGACCCAAATTGATCTTAAAATGACTATAATGACTCATATAAAACTTTAAATACTAGACCCTATTTTGTAACAAGCAAATGGACTAAAATACCCTTTTAATGTGTGCAATCCAAAAAAAAAGTTTACGAGGAAAAAAAACATTAAACATAGAAGAGAAAATAAATTAGATTCAACATAAAAGAGAAAAATAAAATTGTTTCTCGGGTCTCTCTCTCTTTCTCGCACGACAACGACGATTTCGAAGGGGGGGATTCTTCGATCGAGTCTCGTCGTCGTTCCTCTCTCACTCCGACACCATCACCTCTGTCAGAAGTCCATCTCGTCGTCTTTGTCTCTTACGTCGCATCTTTCCACATACCAGAATGATGTGATCCATTGTTCTGTAAACAGAAAGAATGGAAGAAAGTGTTCAAACCACCATGAAAGGAACAACTTGAGAAAGAAAAAAAGAGGGGTGACAGAGATGACGACAGTTACTAAAAAAATAATTAGCCCTAATTGTGGTCTTAAACCACTAGAAATAAACCAAAATCGAATTAATTGGAGTAAACCGGGATTAAATCCGAATTTAATTTCTACTGGTTTACTAAAACCCAGAATAATTAAACAAATCTGTCACTACGTAAAATAACAAGTCGGCCACGTCGTAATGCAACAA